TCCCAAAATTGACATAGTTGCTTCTCCAGACGTTTGTCTCCAGGATGGATGGTAGCTGTTTCATTGCTTACTCGAAGAACATGTGTGCTGGTTAAATTCACTTGAGTTGATTCAACCTCATCGTCAACTGGGCCCGAAAGAACCCACCCAAACATGGAGTTTACAGCAACAGGGCCAAGCTCCCCCCGTCTTATGTCTCCGTTCAAGAAATGCCAATAATAGTCACTGCCAATTAGAATGTCTACTTCAGAACCAATGTTACTTTCCGGACCAATGTCTGCAAGCTTGAGTCCTTGAAGATGGGAATAATTATGACAAGCAATTTCAATAGCTTGGTTCTTTAATGGTGAGCAAATTGTCGGTATAGTAAATGCATTAAGCTGAACAATTTGATTGGAGTCTTCTCCTTTCACCGTGAGTTGTACAAGATCTTGCGTTTGAAGCTGACCAACACTCGAACCAAACGTTTTTATCATGAGAGTTTCTTTCTTAATTGTTGGTAGATTTAATGATTCTTTGATGCGATGGGTAACATATGACCTCTGACTACCGCTGTCGAAAATTATTCTTGCTTGAATGGATTTCTCTGGGTCTTCACTATTGATAACAGTTGCTATAGCCGTTTGTAATAACACAGATGTCTTCGCTTCAGTGAACACATAGGTAGCTGTTGTTTCTTTAGCACCGTCCACAGGTGGCTTGCCACCACCCTTATTTTGCTCTTGTTGTAGGGGTGGGGTTTGTGGGGCTTGCTCAGAGATACTGGGATGATGACGTTTATTGCACTTAAAACAAGACTTGCCATTGCAATCCTTTGCTAAGTGTGACTTTCGCAAGCAGACATAACACCGTCCTTCCTTTTTCAACAGCTCCTTTCTTGCTTGAACATTTGTTATGACGTCACACTTAAATGAGGCGTGAGCCTTTCGACAATATGTACACGATACCTTAATTCCTTGAGCTTGTGGAGCAGCTGCTGATAAATAACTACCCTTTGAACGTTCCCCATCCCCCTTAGGGCTAGATCCATCCTTCGAACTCTGTTTGGAAGTTTCCTTGATAGTAGAACTAGCACACCTTTCTCTCGCTTCTAATTCTGTTCGTAAATGTTTCAAAGTCTCATCTAGCTTCCAATTTTCTGTACTAATTTGACGACTTAGAATAAGTCGAAGGTCTTCCGGAACCTTTGACAAAATGATAGGGACAAGTAATGTGCCGTACTGCTCAGATTCAACCCCGAGTGTTTTGAGACCTCTTACATGAACTTCTATGCTATCATAGACCCTTCTTATTTTGTTTACATCTGTGTTACAAGTTGTGCCTTCTAACTTGAGTAAAGCGTCCATATGAGCATTAATAATGGTTTGTTTTTGTGCGAAACGCCCCTTTAATAAATCCAGTGCAATTGTATAATTGGCAGATGTCAATTGTAAGCCTGCGACCGCAGATGCATCTTCACCCTGCAGATAACTTCGCAAATAATTAAACTTCTCCACCTCAGACATATGTGTATTATCATGAATAGCACACTTGTAGCTATCCCACCATTCATTGCAGACTTTTGGGTCACCATTGAATTTGTTAAGTTGTAATTTGTGTGACTTCAGTAAAACTTGAATCCCCTGTGTTTCCCAGTGAATGATCATTGTTTACGGGCGCCTGACTTGTTGTGAGTTGAAGCTTCTTGAGTAAACTGTTTATATTTACCAAATACATTTGAATCATTTCCTTGAATTTGCCCGCTTCTTCGATTTCCTTAACAATGCTTTCTTCTTCGACAAGAAGAAGTATTGCATCATCAAGGCCTTGTATTGTTGACATTCTATCAGTCAATGAAATTTTCATACATTCGATTTTGTTGACATCGGGAACGTCCGCTGACATTAACTCGTCTGAGGTTGCAAAAAGCTTTTTGATATATGACCGATGACCCGTTCTGATTCTCTTCTGTTTAGTAAGATCCTTGTTGTTCGACATCGCTGTGAAATTGCTCCAAAACTATAGAACTAAATCCGATTCAATCCGGCTCGTTGAGGACCACATGTTAACTTTTGATAATATAATTCATATCTTTCGTATAAACCTTCGATTGTTCTACTTATATTTCCCTTTTTTATTACGTCAACCAACCATAAAAACAATAAGTTTTATATCCCTTAATTTCTATAAAATACAATTCACAGTGCCATAACTCTAACAACAACACGAGAGTTCACATGTTCTCAATTAACCAATCACGTTAAACTATATCTATAATTATGTTAAATTATTACTGTTTCCACTTAACGTTAAAAATTTCAATTTTCATACTCAAATTCGTACAATAAGTATTAAAACAAAACAATAGAGAAAAATACAAAATGATATGCAATCTTGTTATAAAACCCAATCTTGTTATAAAACAAAAACGTACCATTAATATACGAACGGAATACATCCAAAACAGCTTTTCCAGTGGGATATTGATTTTTTACCGTTCCAATAAAGCTCTGTGCCAACCCAGCAGTCCCAAACGTCACAAAACTGTTACCCCTTACATGACATTTTAGAATTTTTGCCTAAATGATTATTGATTAAACAGTATTAGTATAAACCTACTAGTAGGCTATCATGTATCGTGCATTCTGCATGATTGGTTACGCTACTAGTAGGCTATTAGTGATAGTCTACTAGTACTCTAGTAGCAACAAGCGGTGAAGAGCACGAGAGTCATGGACCGTTTTTAAGTATTAAAAGCTGCATTTAAAGGGAAAAAGCTTATCAAAATGGCCTAGTTTTAGTTCTGGATTACACACAAACAAAGACTCTTGGAAACTGCTGACACATGCGGTAAAATTTTTAAGTTTTCTCAACTTTGCTCGTTGTTTTGAGCATGAAAGTGACAGGCGATTTTTTAAAATATATGCACAATTATTGTTTGTTAATATTCCAAGCAGAATCGTTGAAATTCAACAATACTTTGTAGCTATTTACCCCTATTTTCTCAACCTCTAGTGTGTGTTTGTTTTAAGTACGAGTTCATGTATTTAGCTGTCATTTTAAAGAGTTTTTTCGTATAAATGTTGAGATTTTAGCCGAGTTTGTTTTTCGCCTTTTTAAGTCGAGTTTTTCGAATAAATTTTAATCTAAACTATTGTCTATGTATACTAGATTATATGGAAATGGTTTGCCTCTTTATGTTCCAGTTATTTTAAAGATTTCAACGACATTCGGATAATCGGATTATTTTGCATGTGTGTGCATTTTTATTCGGCTTTTTAACGTAAACTTTATTTACTAATTTAGTAACAATTCGCGGGAAGCCATTTTGTGTTCGAAATTTTGGACTTTTTAAGCCTTGTTTCCTTCTTTTAAATAAGTTTTAATTGACCAAACTTTGCTTCTATAATGGTCTCTTACTATTATATTGTTTTACGACATGTTTTTAACTTTTTTTAAACTCATAAGCTGCAGTATTTTTTAAGTCATTCTTGAGACAAGGCCATTTAAACGCCCATTTCGTTAAAACGTTATAATTTTACATAAAAATCAAGTGAAAAATTCCGCTTTTTTTATGTGGTTTACACTAAAACAATTAGACAACTCAGCCTCGTTGTCTCTGAACGAATAGTCAACTCGGCTTCGCCTCGTTGACTATTCGCTTATAGACGATTCGGCTTCGTTGTCTAATTGTTAAATATTCGACTATTATTACCGAGTCCTAAACTGCTAAAGATCAAATTTTATATGTTATGATATATAGAAGAAATCATAAGCATTGCCATAGCATAGAAATTAAAAAGCTAAATTTGAATTGTAGAAAAAAAAAGAAAAAAGAGAGGCCCTTCATGGTAAAGCTATATTAAGAGTTACGGTTGACAGGTAAATCTGCTGTCATAAGTTCTTTGTATGTTTGCATGGTGATAAAATATAATAGTTTTGTTTGTGGAAACACCACATAAATTTATTACTGAAAAGCTTTCGATCCGTAAGCACATATTATTAGCACTGATGAAGATCCAGGCTTACGGATCGAAAGCTTTGCAGTAATAAATTTACGTGGTGTTTCCACAAACAAAACTATTACATCTGCTGTCATTATACAAACTAAAAAACTGCAGAAGTTCAAGAACACTATAAGGAAACTGACAGGACACCAGTGGGAGATTGAGACACAAGTCTGAAATCTAGAACCCCTAGAAATCTAGAACATGCACACACAGAGTTTATCCCTCCTTCAGTATCCACTGTGGGTCTCCAGAGAAACAAACATATGATGTTTCTCATGGACAAAATCGATATGTGAGGCTTCCCTTAGCCGGAAATACATTTGCCATATACAATATTCATGTTTTTTCTTTCTTGGGGGGAATATTTTATGGTAACTGAAAACATCATCTCCTCTGATTAGCTAAATGATCATGTTGTTGACGATGAAAGCTTAGGTATCTTAATAGGTCATAATTAAAGACCTTTTTAAAGTGTTTTAAAAATGTAGTTTCAACAGCCGCAGCTTTGACCACATTCGAACCAACCTTAAACACATTTATTTCAAAATGCTGGACAACTTTACACGCCTGAAAACATTTTCTGGGACCAGTGGGCTGATAAATTTTCCACCTCTGATAACTGGAGTTCTGAACTCCAGGCTAGCCTCGTTTCACTGAAACTGGACATTTTACTGCATCTGAAGCAGTCAAGGGCTGAAAATTTATTTGAAAATAATCAAGGATGGTTATTATTTAAACAAACTGACCATGTTCAATATATGTGTTAATACAAAATTTTTGAAATTGCCCATATAAGTGTTAATACAAGTTTCATATTTTAATTTTAATATTTCTTCAATACCATGCTGCCCAAGATTTTTGGTCAATTCAAAACCCTTGTTTTTAGTCTTACATGGTTCAAAAATCTTTATTTCAATCACAATCACACTGCTGTTATTTCTGATGAATTTAATTTTTCTTTTTTTGGGGGGGGGGTGCAAATCTCTCTAGGTGGGGTGGGAAAACGTTTTGAAGGTGCAAAAATGTTTTTTTTGGGGGGGGGGGCAAAAAATCCGTGTTGTGTGGGATACATGTAGGAAAATATTCCTAATGTTTATATGGATTCTAAATTGTATGAAATATAAAGGACTTCTAAGGTCTATTACAACAGTCATGTAACTTTACTTTTTTCACCACTTGCCCTCAGGGCAAGTTGGACATGATAATTAGTTGCCCTGAATAAAATTTACTTGCCATCAGACAATGGCCACTGGGATACCTAGGTAGGGGGTATAAATTAAGGGGACAACATGTTGACTCATGCTCCCACTGCTCTATATAGCTATGTTATACTGCCTCAGATCCAGCTTGGCTCACAAAAAAATTGAATGAAGCACATGCACTATCAAAAATTTAACCGACAATGAAAACATAAACTTAAAGATGCCAAGCTTTATTTGGCCAAGTAACTTGCCCAAATGGGTGAGCAAGATAAAATGTTTACTTGCCCGTCATGATATTCACTTGCCTCGGGCAAGTGGGTAAGTGTTAAGTTACACCTCTGGTTACAAGAAACCACTACCAGTTTTTTTGTTAATTCTTTTAATCTTACTGTATGATGCAATGTAATTAAGTGTCCAATATGACACACATGGCTGGTGTATTTTTAACCCATTAGGTGGCAATGTGCCAAGATGTGCCCTACTTTATTATTTTACTCTGCCTAATGCCAGACGAGTTTACTCATCAGTTGTAAAGTACTGCCAGAAAATATGTAAACAAAACTATCTGCCAGTGTCTTATGTTAAGTATTTTTATGCTTTAGTATTTTACTCTGTCTAACCTAAAGCAATTTACAGTGGTAAGGTACTACCAGTAAATCACACAGGATTTTTGTTTCCCAACAATTATATTTTTGTGTTACTACTATTACAATTTTAAAAAGCAACAACTTAGTATACTTTGCACAAAAATTCTTAATATAATTTAGTAATTCATGTTATTCATTTTTTCCTGTAATTTTTCTCACCAAGGAAGAGAGCACACTTTTTAGAATGATTGTCTGCAATCAAATAATCACTCACAATAGGTCCAAATGAGAAAAACAAAAGATAACTGGCATGATAAATCCATAGTATATTAGTATATGTGGTAGGTAATTTTAAAAATCGGTCTGGGTTCAATATAACATTTATACATTCAATATAACATTGGCTGTTTTATTAAGATAACTAATAGCTATAAGCTAATATTTATAGTTAGTACCATAATATTTTTACAGGAAAAAAAAATTATGTCACCAATCCATGATGACAGGTATTATTTCTAAATTTACTTCAATGCCTGCTTATTTTGTGATCTGAATCTTACAGACCCCATGTCTATTATTATATGTGGCCTCAGTAGTCTTACTGGAGAATCTACATAAGTTACTATTATCTAATTTCCCATTTGCCATATAACCATACTCCAATAGTAAAAAACACCTAGCCTGACAAGTTTCAAACTGTCTACAGGAACTGTCAAACACTCATTAGTAATTCATAAGCTTATTGGTAAATCATTTCAACCATAATATGTCATGTGCAGTGGCTTTAAACCTGATAAAACACTCCTAATTAGTATTCTTTATATAAAAAATACTAATAAGCAGTATATCTATTGAATTTGTAGTTGTGTTTGAAGCCGTTTAATAAACTCGCAGCTCGTGTTTAATATTAGGTCTAAAGTCACTTGCTTCAAACCTAATAAAATATATATCATATATCATATATATGTCAATGCAAATACACCATAGGATATATTTTACTCAGCACATGTATAACACCAGACGATTTTACTTTCCAAGGGAAGGAAGCTTGAATGGTAATGTGTTAAACTTTAAAGCAGTAATAATTCGGCCAGATTTCATTTTTTACAGAAACAAGGTTTAATTAATATCAGATATGTTTCAGTTCCCTACTCCGGGACAAGTTAAATAGAGTGTATGGCAGGGTCTTGGGTGATGGCGTAATTGTATCATTGCTTCATCTTATACAAGTTTGTATACACCAACAGACCTTGGCTATGTTTGCACACTATATCCTGATTAACTACCTACATTATCATATTAATGCACAAGTCAATTTCTGGAGTAACCATCCCCCCCCCCCCGGGACACCTCCAGGAATTTGCCTGATAGACAGTTCACAGGAGTCGGGAATTTGCCTTTCATATATGTGCACGGGGGCCAGGGGTTGTATTTTGAGCCCTCGTGGTCAAGGTGAAAACTATTGTCAGAATAAGCGAAAATTATAACCTGTGCCATGCAAATTTAAATACAACTATTAAAGGTTTATGATTTAATTGTTTAAATACTTTTAACCACTCTTAGCAAGATTCAAGTTTATATTAAGTTTTATAATATTCCATAGCAGTTTAATACTACAGTATAATGTTTATTAAATGACTATATGCTATTATATACCATTAAAAGTTTAATTAACATTTAAAATGGTCCCTGGGGTAGGGCATTTTCCACTCTCAGCTTGCCCAAGGGCTGTGCATTAGTCTTCAAGTTGTGTCCCGGCACCCAGGCATTTGCACTATCGTAACCAATCAAATCAAATGCCTGGGTGTGTTCCCGGGGGGGGGGGGTTACTCCTGGAATTGACTCATCATGCATAAGTAATGCAATGCCTATCTTGTGTATATACATAATTATACAGAAAATATACAGGTATCTATATAATAAAATGACACTAGCTTTCATGGATTTTTCATGGATATTTAACGGATTTTCGTTTATAACTTGCTTTATGAAATATTAAAGAGTGAGTAGAAACCCTTTGCATATATATTCAACTTTTACCTAAGCTGTACTTTCCTTCTTACCCGTTTCTTTAGCAAATTGAATTGCTTTGTTGGGTTTGTTTTACCCATATTTAATATCCGGGCATCTTCTTCGCTGTCTTTGTTGTGATCGATGTCGGCGGCTATGGTTTCTTTGCAGATACGGCATCTCTTTGCTGCTGGACCATTGTCGTTGTTGCATTTGCCACATCGTTTCGGGCGCCCAGCCTGCAAACAATAAAATTAAAAATTTTAAATCTTTAATTCATATTTATATTGTTGTTTGCGTATATGCAAATGGTCATTTCAGTCGTACAAATATAAACATTTGCACTTTGAAGGCGGACTATTTCTATATAACTTAATAAATCATACCATCAGCTTTGTTTATAGTAACTTCAAGCACTTTCGAAGGCCAAAAAAGAAAAGAAATACGACAGAATAGAACACCAAGTTTCGAGAATGAGTGAACCAGTGAACCACAATATCACAGTGAACCCGCGTAAACCCAAAAACCCGCGCAATCTGCATCGAATGAATACGTCGTACGTAATATTGGTCCTGGGTTCGAATCATAGTAGAATGCACCTAGCTTACCCAATATAGGTAATCTAGGAGCCTGTGACAATTACCCATTATAGGTAATCTACGACTGAGGATGTGTTGGTAAGGCATGTAATATAGTTTCTAGCTCTACGAATATAAGCAATATTCACAAATGTTTTCAATCAGTTATTGACTGTTAATTTATTTATAATAAATTCTCGGAAAATGAAAATTCTCTACAATGATTCAATAAAACATGGAAAGAACTCAACTTTAGAAATTAAATTAGAATGTAGTTATATGGTACCAGGGACGATGGAAAGGGGGTGGGACAAGGTCTCCTTTCCTAAAGGGGGCAAATGTAGCATTTTAATATAAATAAAACACAATATTTTTGTCCCAAACATACTTTAATAACAAATTAATTAACAAAGATAAATATGATAGAAGAGAATTTGTATATTTATTTAGCTATTACCCAAAGTCGTGGGTCTAGTTGCACAAATCCCTTGTTGGAGGGACAGGAAATATAGCAGCACACGTTTAAATTAAAGTTTAATATAAAAAGATATTTCATTTTTGGTCATGTAAAAAGTTGATATTTGATAGTAGATACTTCTACTCTTTCACATATTTGATGCCTGTCTCCATATATTTTGTCCCTCCAAACGACCCCAGAATATGCACTGTGATCTCTTTTGAAAAAAGCCAATTATAGTAATGTGAATATACTAACCCATATAGAAACTAAATCCAGGATGACATTTGACATCTTGTTAAAAGAATACCAGTATTGAGGAAAATATATCATTTTGGAAAAAATATGCAAAAATTGCAAAAGATGTTATATTTAAATTTTAACAAATTTATTTTCGTTCTTCGAGAAAATTTAAGAAAAAATAATTTATCATTAACCATTATTTCTTATGTTGAGAATTTGATTTCTTGTTTTAAAAATTTTCTTACAGTCAAATCCGGTTCGCCTTTGACCTCAACATTGCTATAATGATATACAATTTTGCAATTTTGATTGACATTTGTGTCGTGCAATTTCCAACTGTCGAGGTAAATTGCTAATTGCAAATTTGCCGCAATTTTCATCTCACTCCAAGAGAAGACGGACAACAAGTCAACACAATGTTTCAACTTTTAGTCAATTATTTAGGAGATAGATACGCGAGTGTTTTTCTTGAAAAACCTACTAAAAAACACAGATTACTTGTAGAACGTATTAAATCTGCAATACCTTGTTTTAACGAATTGCACGATGACGAAATTCGAATTGCATATAAAGATGTTCATTCAGGATGTTTCATAAACATTCATGCAAATGTTGATGAACAATTTCACCTAACAGATTACTTTCAACAATGTTGTTACAGTTGGAGCATACGATAGAATTAATTTGAAAGTTTGTAGAAGTGATTCACCGTTACCTATTTGAAAGAAATCGTTAATTCGCGACGATCTCAAGGAACCTAGTACGTCTTCTTCGAGTGCAAATAACAAGGTGAGACCGATTGCCGCTTTCACGGAAAATGATGATATACAAGTACAAGTACGTCTGCCCTTCCCAAACAACTTAATTAATTTTACAGCAGATGTGTCCGAAGTTCAAGGGTGGAAAGAAAACATACGCAATAACAATCCTTGTTACGCCCCCGTTTGCACGTCTTATTTTACCTGTAATTCTATCGTATGCTCCAACTGCAACAACATTGTTGAAAGTATCTGTTAAGTGAAATTGTTCATCAACATTTGCATGAATATTTATGAAACATCCTGAATGAACATCTTTATATGCAATTCGAATTTCGTCGTCGTGCATTATTAGCAATTTATTAAAACAAGGTATTGCAGATTTAATACTCGATAATACGTTCGACAAGTAATCTGTATTCTTTAATAGGTTTTTCAAGAAAAACACTCGCGTATCTATCCCCTAAACAATGGACTAAAAGTTGAAACATTGTGTTGACTTGTTGTCCGTCTGCTCTTGGAGTGAGATGAAAATTGCGGCAAATTTGCAATTAGCAAATAGCAATTTACCTCGACAGTTGGAAATTGCACGACACAAATGTCAATAAAAATTGCAAAATTGTATATCATTATAGCAATGTTGAGGTCAAAGGCGAACCGGATTTGACTGTAAACATTGGCAACCAAAATTTTTATTGCTTCATCTGAAAGAGCATGAAAAATAAGCCGGTTAGCCATTTAATGCTCTATTCTATCTTATCTATAAATTGCTGATTCAGCACAACATGTGACGTTATTAGTTGGGTAAGTATGTTTATTGAATAGTAAACTGAAGCATAGCTCAGTTATTATGGGCCCAAATTAAATTTTGCATACTTGATTGTACATGAGATGCATTGAAAAACGCTTCTAATTTTGTTGCCAAGGTAACAATGTCGGTCCCAGGCCCCTTGCGCCAATTTTATAAAACAGTTTTATTTGTGGTACTGATAAGGTTAAAATAATATCAGAAGTATGTGTACCATACCTATGCATGCCAAAAGTTTACTTGCATGATAATAATTCGAAAATGACATACACATAGATAAATGCAACTAGTTATTCAAAATCAGTGTAAGGGGCCTGGGAACGATTGTGTTGCCTTCACAACAAAATTAGAAGTATTTTCCCATGCGTCTCATCATGTTCTATCTGTATGCAAAATTTCATTTGATTTGAGCCAATAATAACTTAGCTATGCTTTAGTTACAATTCCAATATACATACTTACCCAACTAATGATGTCACACGTTGTGCTGAATCAGCAATTTATCTAGATTATCAGCATTATTTATCTAGATGAGATAGAATAGAGCATTAAATGGCCAACCGGCTTATTTTTTCATGCTTTTTCAGTGAAGCAATAAAAATTTTGGTTGCCAATGTCCTTTAAGAAAATGATTTGATATGAAGATGACAAAATCGTAAGAAAACATTCATATTTCAAGAAAACAAATGTAATTTAAGATATGTTAAGAGAATTTTCCTTATTTCAAGAAAAAAATGCCTTGCAAATCAAGTACTTCTCATTTTGAAAATCCGTTTTCTAATTAAGAAAATTAGTTTCTGATTTCAACAAATATTTCTTGAAGTAAGAATTGTTTTCTCAATAAGAAATTATTTTTTGCTGTGTAGTTACAGATACTGTATAACTATATTGACAAACAATTGGCATATCTACATATATCTGCAAATATCTGCAACTTTTATGCAGATATTTTGCAGATATGTTAACAGATAATCAACATATCTGCAAAATATCTGCAACTTTTATGCAGGTATTTTGCAGATATTGCAGACCTTGTTGCAGTTATGCTACAGTACTGCAACAGATATGTGACAGATACTTGCAGACATTTTACATATATGTCAGTTTGGTAAGGGAATACATAATTTACAGACTTTCATCTTTTTCAAAATTCAAATAGCAGAACTAAATCATAGACCATAGTCAATTTTCATTATATTACAAAGCTAATTTATTGTGAAAATTTGTATTGTGTATTAATTAGGCCCTTTGCAGGTGGCCAAAAATAGTAGGCATTGAGTGAGGTTGATAAGACAAAGAAGACAACAATTAAAGCACTATGCCACTTACCAAAGAAATTAAATGTACCATAAATAAACTTTTAAACCTACTCTGTCTTATCTGTTTAACTTTCTCCAAAACTCTTTTATGTCCACGAAAAACTTGGCGTTTTTCCTCCTTTATGGGTTGCTCATAATCCTTGTTTTCCTTCTCATCGAAGAACTCTGGCAATTTGTTTGGAAGGGCAATGGGGCCGAAATAAGACTGGTTTTCTTTGTGTCTCTTCGCCATCTCTTTTCTCATAACCACTCATATTGTACAGTTTTATCAGCATCAAAATCTATCCCTCGAAATTCACATTGTACTTTGTAATCACGTAAGCACTCAATCAATTAATATGCATGTCTTCCGACCATTTAAATCTTTCACGTTTTTCTTTTTCGACACAATCGCCTTCGTTTTGTTCTACAGCAGATTCACTCGTTGTGGATGCCATTTTCTTTTTAGAACAGAAATATACAGAATCATGCATGCTCAGCAGACATGCTCATTGCACATCATCCTGGTTGACCTAACACCGCTGAAAATGTCTGCGCGTGGGGCACAAAAAAGATGGCGAGGAATTTAAATGCCAAATTGTAAACAAAAACATGGCTATTTAATGATTTAAGGTAATTGAAACAAACAAAAAATACACTAGATGGGTAGTTTAGACATGAATAAAAAATTTTAACATTTAAAATCTAAAAAGAAACAGACGAGAGCGAATGGTATAATTGTTTTATAATATAGTGTAATAGCCATTAACTGAAGCAATAATTAATTATCCTCTGTTACAATCTCTTGACAATTGGTTTGGCCAAAAACCGCTTGGCCTTGAAAATTTGAAATACTTTTGTTTTACAACTCGATGACGAAGTGAAAGAAATGGTTTTAGAACTGGTATATCACAGAAAAGCTCAGATATATTATACAGATGTTTGGTAGTATAGTAAGTGCTTGTTGACTGCAAATTCATTTGTCTTTCGTTGCAAAATTTTCTGAACAGTTTATATTCTCAATGAACATGTTTTTTTCTCTGTTGTTTCGGTATTAATTCTTTAAAAACTTGTATTTAAACTAATTTCTATGTAATAAATGTATTTTGCTACCTGTCAAATATTTTTTAGAGTTTTTCCTTGTACTATTATCTTTCTCGAAGCGAATATTTTCCTTTTTTCTGCTTCGCAAAACTCATGTAGTTTTTGGACTGTGATATTGTTATTTGCTGCTCGCCGTATATGAGCTCATATACAGTGAGTAATTCAACCAATCAGATTGCAGAACAGCTCATATACGGTGAATTGACTATATTATAATTATATTTATTCCGCTACTAAATCAGATGTCACTTTCCAGAATTTGGAAGGTAAATTCTGATTGGTCGACATAGCGGAATTCAGTTTGGCGCTCGGGTAAGCAGACAGTAGTACCTTACATATTTGAATCCTGCTAGAAAGATAGGACCGGAACCACAGTATAGGGAAGGACAGTAGAACTAATTTTCTAGACTTTTATATTTTTACTCCAAATTGTATATATACAAATTTCCGATAGTATGTAAATATTATCACATGCCTAGTTATGCTCTGCTCTTTTAATAGACATTGTTGTAAATCCATTCTATATCTAAAATCATCATCGTCAGTGATACAATTACTGCAATTTTACAGTCCCCCAAATGTAATCCCAGTTCCAATAAGGCAATATGATGTGATTGCAGTAATGAAAATGTGTGTGGTATACAATCTTGTTCCCTGAGGCTCTGGAATAATCCGTTTCAAGAAGGAATCTGATTGGCCATTGATATGGAATGCACAGTTCGGTCTTAGCCAGGATTCCTGGCTTAGCCTGGATTCCTGGCTTCCCACAGCCTCATGTTCCTTCCCGGCAGGATCGCAGGCTCGGGAACGAGATTGCGTGGTATAGTATTATCATTGACCACACTTCAAATTCTACAGTACTGTATTACATATATTGGGGTACTTGATATTGACGCATTCGCTTCTCAGTGACACTGAAGAGCAAGATAGGGTAGTCTCTTTGGAGTATCTTTGCTTGGAAAAACTAAACTAGAATTTGTCCTAAAATGCAATTTCATGGCTTTTTCCACGAGCAAATTATTTCAGTCATGGTTTAGGTTTCTGGCGATGTTTAAATTTCAGTCCCCAAAATTCATACCAAGTCATGCAACTGACTCGGTTGACTTATAGTTAGTTACGGGCCTGCAGATGATGGTCAAATTCAGAAATGTTAACAGCTTATAACATCATTTTCTCACTTTGATATACAATTGCTGGTTGACCACCTACTGCAGATAGTTCTTAGGGACCTTGCACTGGGGGGGGGCAAAATTGCTGACTGGAGGGGCCACTAAGAAGGCTTGCGGGGGGGGGGGCATGTCTCCCCAGTCTATGTTGAGAGGCCCTGGAAAGAGCAAATTAAATGCATTCCCGGACACAACAATACCATCCAATTGCTCTTAATTTCCATCAGCCATCATCTCAAGCTCATCCTATTTCAACAGAGGGTTTTGCTACACCCACACAAACTTACTCAAGAATTGATACTAGTTCTTCTGATATTGTTAGCAAACATTACCACACATTGTAGACGAGTTGTTTATAGGTTGGTTTGTTCCACATACCACTGTAGTTACAGCAGGTTTATGTGATATGCACCCACCTCACACCAAAGGGATGATAACAATAGTTTGTTTTTTACATTTAGGTCATTAATTCAATGTCAGAAACGTCAATAAACCCTACATACGATCATGGCTTACTATTCTGATAATTATACATGATGACTCATAGCATTAAATTAAAACTGTTCAATTTGGATGGCTTTGTTCAGTTGTTGACATTTCTGATATTGAATTAGAGACTGTGCCTAAATGTCAAAAACAACCATCTCTATCAATGTTTTTGCACAAGCTGGTCGCATATCATATAAAACTGCTGTAATAAGTTGGGTTGTTGTTTTCAAGTTGGTTAGTTGGAGGACAAAAAGTTAGTTAATAGGTTGTTTAACATTTTTCGGTTTTCTCTTTCTATTCGCAAGATATGAGGCTCTATACCTTGAAAAATTGGCTTTTAGTGAAAAATTATCGTGCCCGAGAAAAACAAAACAGAAAAGGGCCTGGGGCGAGAGCCATGTGACGTAGCTTAAGGGATGGAAGTTCGAATTCACATGTGAAGCAGTACTAAAAAGCTATTGGGAATACATATGTTTTCCAGCACTCATGGTTCTCAATGCGACTCAGAATACAATTATATTCCTGGGTATATTATACAGGATGAATCAAATGATACTACAATCTTGGCCATAAACCGTAGGACGATAAATTTTTATGCATTTTTAAGGCCTCCCCTCTCCCCCCCCCCCCATTTCACCGTTTCGCGTATATTTATGGTACTAGAAATGTGGGAGAGCAACATTGAATGGGGGGAGGTGCAAATTGATTTTAAAACCCAAGTATATTAAAAAGTTGCGAATTTGTTTTGTCGTTCCACGAACTTTTGGCCGAAAATTATGTTTTTAATCCTTGACATATATATGTATTAAATTTAGAACACCAGTTGTAGAAAGATTCAAAAATGTACTTATGTTCTTGTACTACTGGATAACACTTCAAAAGTCATTCTGGTATTCCTAAATATTGAATGATAGGTAGATATTTAATAAATATTGTTTAGTAGCTGTAATTTGATACCGGATTTCTGGGTAGGCGGGCCTTAATCTTCTCTTCAAATAGCATATATGTCTATTTTGAACCGGACAGTAATGGTCATAAAGGCAGACTGATACAACGTAATTATAGATATATTTTAGTATACATATTTTCAGTTAAAGCTACACATGCCAATTGACAATTAGAATTTTTAATTAATGTTGCTGTGTAAGATCCAACATATCATAATTATAGATATGAGGAATATATCGCGTGTGCAACAACGAATCGTGTTTATAGCCACGTACAGCAGAGCGGACACTCAGAAATTTCTTACAAAAAAGAGCTTTGCTAATGCCATTGTAGAGGCATAGACGTTGTCAGGCTTTACAATTTAACATTGGGTCGTCCTTATGATGTGATGTTGACCAAATAATTAAGTCTGGTGCCGTATCCGACAAAATATTAATCTATATATACATATAAATGAACTCTAGTAGCTTAATAACTAACTGACAGTACTCGTGAACAGTACTCACAGTAATTGCTTAATTTTTCGTCGGATTGTAAATAAATACATAAAATATACACAACATTTTGTTCATTGTTACTGTCCTCACAATCTCATGGCAGATAGGTAAAACAAATTGTAGATTTGAAGCAATAATTGACATTACTCATTAAAACCTCCAAACTTAATATGAGATATAGACATTGTCTTAACCCATGTATTGTTATGGCGAGTACTGTGATTGTCCTTTCCAAAGGCCCAATTTTTCTACAAAATACCAACAAACAGAATGGACCATTTGCATTATAGACTAAATTTTGATCTAGACAAAAATTTCATCACAGCTTGAAAGAGCATCACAAAATTAGTAATATTCCAAAGTTTCGTTGCGAAATGTTGTAAAATGCGGATAATATAGCCATGTGAAGTTTGCCGTTTTTCAGTCATTTTGTATTACGCACGGGAAATTGACAGCCCAATCGGGTGTTGGGGCATCAATTTCCCGTTTATTTGTAATCTAAAATGACTGAAAATTGCAAACTTTGCAAGGCTATATTATCCGCATTTTACAACATTTCGTAACGAAACTTTGGAATATTACTAATTTTGTGATGCTCTTTCAAGCTGTGATGAAATTTTTGTCTAGATCAAAATTTAGTCTATAATGCAAATGGTCCATTGCGACACTTATGCCAACATTTAAAAACATTTTATTTCAGACAGTGAAATCATGATATGTTCGCTTACCTCTTGTTTCATTGAGTACTGTCACTGAGTACTGAGTGTCGCAATACAGAAAGCCTGGCGGCCCGCGCGTCTAACAATTACATATTTATTTGCAGCCTATTATTATATCGCAATAAGCTCTTGCAATTACTCTTTCTTATGTATAATGAAGGAGAAAATTTCCCTTGTTTACATTACTTGGGCAAATTCATATATGTTCGCTTAGCTCTTGTTTCATTGAGTATACTGTCACTGGGTACTGAGTGTCGCGATACAGAAAGCCCGGCGGCCCGCACGTATATAACAATTACACATTGATTTGCAGCGCATTATTATATCCCAATAAGCTCTTGCAATTACTCTTTGTTATGTAAAATGGAGTAGAAAATTTCTCTTGTTTACATTACTTGCGCAAATAATTCTCAATTATCTAAACACATTGGCTTAATTTCAATCTAATATCGTATAGATTGCCTTCTTTTATGAACAACTGAAATATATATTTAAAAACAGATATTTCATAGGAGTATGGTCCTATTTATAAAAAAGCGATTGAACTTTGATAGTTTGATTGCACAACTTCTACTAGAGTAAGACCATGATTGTCTTATATGTAACCTGAAAGCAAGTATAACTTGAGCAGCTTAGCAGAGCCACCTTAACTAAAGACGTAAATAGTACACGGCGCCAACACATATAACAATCTTATTTGATATTTCTATGCAGAATAAATTAGCACAAGTGTCTTGTACAAGGTTAAATGCATTTTTCGTGGAAATGAACATGTAGCAATTTTCAGACAATCTTGGCCATAAACCGTAGGACGACGATAATTTTTTATGCATTTTTAAGGCCTCCCCCCCTTCCCCCCATTCAATGTTGCCGTTTCGTGTATATTTATGATCTGACCTACTCTACAACAAAATTGTACGTGTACTAGAAATGTGGGAGAGCAACATTGAATGGGGGGAGCGGGGGGAGGTGCAAAATGATTTTAAAACCCAAGTATATTAAAAAGTTGCGAATTTGTTTTGTCGTTCCACGAACTTTTGGCCAAGATTGACCTAGGTTATTGCTGAATAAAATGCAAGGGTAAGTTATCGAAAACCACTTAAAGATTGTGCATATTTGACATGAAAATATGTATGTAATATAAAACGGTTTGAACATGTGCTCGATTGTCACTCGGTTGTCACTTTGAAACACATAGCATTTTCATTGATATAACCATGGATAATAAAATAAATGGATAGGAAACTAGCTGACGTGACCTAATGTTTTCAATGAGCTGATGGCGTGATTGGATGTTGAAACCTAGTTGCAAACCAAATTCTCAAAAACGGCATGTTTAGCATTAGTACAGCCGGCTAAACATTTTAGTCAAAAGCAAATGAATATAACTACGCCATTTTACGATGAAATCTCTAAGTATTCCCAGTCAATTTTAGCAAATATTTCAAGCACTAAACAGTAAAAAAGGCATCCCAAATTTCGTTAAAATTGGGGACGCCAATTTCGTAGCTACAAATGTAAAAAAATACAAAACAAAGACGAAAAACATTTACCTTGAATACTTTGTCGTGGCTTAGGCATGTTTTTAAAACAATTAGACCGGTTTATGCTTTAACATTGCTCTTTTAAGGCGGAAAATATATCGAAACAACAAAAATGCAGAGAACTTTGCAATACGCGTGACGTCACAGATTGCAACTACAATCAGGAGCAAAAATAATGAGACTTTTCACGTTTTTGGCCATTTTCAAGTACGTCGGCCTCCCCCCTCCCCCCATGATCAATGCTGGAAAAAGCGGGTTGAATATTCTCTTTTCAGTCATCCACACAACATTGAATTTGGGGTGAGGGGGGCATTTATGCGTTTGTCTCAATAATTTTTGCTCCTGATTGTAGGTTTTTTGCTTACGTCAGCGAGAGTCCTATCCATTTATTTTATTATCCATGATATAACTTTCAATTGTCGCGGGATAATAATTTTCAGAATATTAAGTACTAGCAAAAGTGTTTAGGTAGCGCGTATTGATATATTACGGGTTCTACTTAATCACAAAGTATATAAATTGTATAAAATGTATCGATTGACACTCAACTCTAGAAATATCACTATCATGATATATCAGATTTATTTATGTAGAAAAGTGTCAATCGATCCAAAACTTGGCTTAATGTCAAACCCTTTCATTAATAGCAAATACATTGTTAGACATTCTCAACAAATTATTCTTAGCCTTGTTCTGATTTAAAAGCTGCCTAGTTGCCCATTATTTCATATTTCTATAGTGACAATCGAAGTGACAACCGATGTTCGTTTCACTGCATAATTTGCATTCGTCTGGACCGGAAACGCTTATTAGCATAATTAGCGTATAACACTAACTTTGTGTTGTATAATGCGTACAACGCCGTATATAGCGAGTCCCTTTCGTTACATATTTTTGGAAGCCTGTGCAACTTTCTTGCTTCGGCGGGTCGCGCGCGCTAGTACTTGCTAACGTGTCAGCATTAGGGAGGTCTATAAGCCCTGGATAAATCACGAAGTCCGGGTCATTCTTTACCACGTACGAATACGCTGAATAGTAGTAATTTTTGGGATTGTCTGACTGAGTTCAATTAAATGCCGAATTTACTCTTCTCGAGCTTTCCGATAGCTCGCCAACTTGATCTTGCGGACAATTTTTTAGCCATGTGGAAGTCTCCGAAATTCCCACCCACTGAGTGCTCCTTCGTACCCATGCGTCGACAATTATATCTGCAAATTCTGCTCTAGAAAGATGTGAAATGTCACATTCACTATTGGTGATAAAAATCAAACGTTCTTTACCTTCGGAGTACCCGAATTAGCAGTTGACTCAGCCCTTATCCGCATGCGAAAGTAACCGGATGTTATATTACTATGCTATAAATTAACAGTATGTGTGACATATCTAGCGTAAAACATTTGCGATACCTATCTTTATTGACGGACTATAACCTCTCAAATAACCTATTGTGCTCTGCCAAAATTTGTAGAAACAAACAACGTATAAAACCTTTGTGATTAAGAATGCAATATGACATAACAAATTATATTCATATTCTGTTAATTATTAACTTTGAGAATTTTAATGAAACTTAATTGTCATATTAGATATTCTGTGAACGAAATGGAGCTGAAATACTTCGTTCGCAGAGCATTCTATTCCCTGTACTTTTGAGATGTGCAATGATGTTATGGCATATGGGGCCCAAACAATCACTTTCAGAAGTTGTTGGGACACATGTAGTTTTAGCTTGTAAGTGGATCATTATAGTTTTTTACACACAATACCGCTCCTCTCCCCCTCCCCCCACCCCAATCAATGTTGTTTAAACCAAAACACATCAAACCCGACGAGAAATGGGACACAGCATTGAACAGGGGGCGGGGGATTGTCGATTGTTGAAATTCAAAGGTTTTGTGGCATCTGTCCCAAGACTTTTGAAACTGATTGTAGTTCAAAGTTTACATAATTTCAAAACAAAAAACAATACCAGTTACAATACCACATAACACAATAACAAACAAAACGAAAAACACACTGAGCCAATAGATATAGATGCTAATATTATAAATAGATAATTTAAGGATAATTGAATTTGATTCTAGTAGAAGGCGATTAGCTGATTTTTAAATTCCTTTTTAAAAACCGTCAATTGTTGGGTATTTTGAACACCGTCAATTGTTGGGTATTTTGCCAAATTCCCGAATATTCTGCATGCGCACATGAACCGTTTGAATCGATTATATAGCTATAGCCATTTTTCGGGTCAGAGTTTTGATATAACGAAAGTTTGCATCATGTGATCATGAACAGAAATGATTTATAAACCAAATGTTCGAGTATATCAGATTAAGCTTGTTTTGGAGTGAAGCAATGTATCTTTATAAACACGCTTCAACACTTAATTGTGAAGAACGAGCAGGATGAATTGACCCACTTGTTTACTACCTGCAGTTATGTGCTTTTCAATTATTCCGGTCAGTGAGCAGATTGATATTCCACTCGACGCAATCTATACTACTATAGCGTTATAGAGCGTTTTATCAATATTTTTTATATCACATCAAATTTTGCTGCGAAGGCTCCTGCATGCTATATAGACATGGGGGAAAGGATTTTCACTAACTTTTTGATCGTATACGTGTATGTTTTTTCTGGATTCCAGTTTGCCAACACACACCGTGAAATTCAAACCGATCGTCCAATCGTGGGAATCGTTGCTCAATCAATACCCCGGTCGTGGAAGCAATATGTTGGAGCCGGATCCTCATATATTGTGGCATCTTATGTAAAGTTCCTTGAAGCATCCGGTGCCCGAGTTGTCCCTATCAGGACTGATCTCAACGAAGAAAAAATTAAGAAGCTGTTTCAATCTATTAACGGCGCCATTTTTCCTGGCGGCCGAGTTGGTCTATTCCAATCTGGTTATGCTAATACGTCAAGAATAATTTTTGACCTAGCGATGAAAACCTTTGATAATGGAGGTTATTTTCCGATAATGGGAATGTGTCTTGGGCATCAGTTTTTGGCTACTGTAGTAAATGGTCCGGGCGAAATCCGTATTCGCACAGACGCCTACAATTTCCGCGCTCCTTTGAATCTAAAGAAGGATTTTCGTGAAAGTAAATTATTTCGTAATATTCCAGATTATTTGGTGAAACCCTTCAACACGACGTTTACAGCACATTTTCATAAGTATTCTTTGCCTTTCAAGTTATTTCAAGAAAACAAGAAATTAAAAGATTTTTACAAGGTTCTTACGACAAACTTTGATCGCAAAGGCACGCAATTTGTATCAACGTTGGAAGCAAGGAAATATCCGTTTTATTCAACGCAATGGCACCCTGAGAAATGTGCATTCGAGTGGGGGATCAAAAAGAAAACTCCGCACGACTTAACGGCAATTAAACTAGGCCAGTATATGTCAAATTTCTTTGTAAATGAGGCGAGGTTTAGTAGTCATAAATTTTCGTCAGAGAAGGAGGTGAGAGGAGCTCTTATTTATAATTATCAACCCGTGTATACTGGCAAGAGACAAGGTTTCGCTTATGAACAACTTTATGCCTTCTAAATGAAAACATTAGACAAATATTAACATAAAATACTTGTACTTGATATTTTCCGCTGTTCCACTCATCGAAAACCGAATTCAATAATTGTTTTATTATTTATTGAAAGGATGAAAAAGACGTGGGAGTTCAATTCGTTGAAATAATGACCAGTTCGTTTTCTCAAATCTTTCCTTTTTTCTTTCATAAGTACTAATAAAAGACGTTCAAAACCTTTCGTGGTTGTTTTCGTTCATAGTTCTTGAATAATCAATTTTCGAAGCCGTTTCCATACATGCAATTTGCTGCAAACACGCCAAAGGCAGCGTCATGTTGTTTTGGTCGTGTTTCTATTGCATGATGTCATAACGTTGAATATAATTGTTCATATTCAACGTTATTACGTCACTCCGCTGAATGCGATGTTTTCATATCCAACGTTATGACGTCACTCCGTTGAATATTATGTAAAAACTCCATATTTGGTCAGCTATATTCAGTTAATAAAAATGACAATTTACAGTTGGCTGTTAGCCCATCAGAAACAATGAATCTTTTAAATAAATAATAATAACTTTTATCTAAATCAAATTATTTATATCAGTATGATCGCTTGAAACATGAAAACTGCTTTCTATTTTCATTTTCTCTACATCTCATATGAAAACTAATATACTTACAACAAGGCATATACACAACCATTAATTAAAACATAAACACTTCACCTAAACTAAAAACTGTTATTCTACGTACGGATCCAAACAAAATGTTTCGTATTAAATATATAGTAATCTATAGCCAAATCCTAAATAAACTTGTACTTATTAATTATGAATAGCGGAGGGAATCTTTTTCCTTGCCGACTTAGTGCAATAACCTATGCAAGAAATTTAATGAACGTTTTGCGAGGTTTAATTGTTGAAAATTGTCTAATTATACTACTTATATACTTAGTGCGTGTCTAGAGATTATACAATACTACACATATATCTTATCATTCGAACAAACTTTGAAAAATTCGCCTCAAACAGATCGTCTATAAGTTCTGTATAAAATTCTCGAACTTTAAACTGTCACATTTTTGAATAAGAACATTAATGTTTTTTGTCGTGTATCAATCCATTAGATGTTGTCAGCATAGCCATTGTATCCGTTCGGTTGGTTTCCAGACAGTCGTCTTAGATCTTCTTCATTTGCTCCTACGTATACGGTATAAGGACTGTCAGGCGCCTGTTCTTCCGCCCATTTTACACTGATGTCGTATCGACCAGGCTCTGTTGGGTTGTACCGCACACCGATGTTGCGATCTTTGGTATTCTCTCGGAACATTTCGACTTTGAAAGCACCTTTGGGACCATGGATTTTGATCTTCAGTGTGCCTGCCCCAGCTCCTTTGGTCTCAACCACGAATCTTCCTTGGTAATCTGTAACAACGCCATTTTCCAGACCTGGGCCATGAGCTTTCACCTTGCTTGCATCAGGTAGCATCGTCACCTTCACCACAAATGGACTTCCTTGGACAGGTTTTCCTCCCCATTCCACGTAAATTAAATGCCTCCCTGTAATACAAGCATTTGTTTTTTAAGTGGTGAAAATAGAGCAATCTGCTTGGCTGAGGAATCCGGGCCGCTCTGAAACTCAACATACCTGCTCTGGTTTTCGCGCCAAAACCAACGAGTGAAACAATTTTTAAACTACATTATCTACCGAAAACATTTTAAAAACTTAGCCTAACGATAGTCAGAATACGAAAATGAATGGCATCAAGCTCTAAGGATTTTGTGTGATACGGATCTCTCATCAGCCAACCCATTTCAGTAACGTTATGGATCTGGAGGTATGGATCAGAAAAAAATAGGCTTCTCAACAAAAGTGGAGGGAATTGTTTTCCCTGCACAACTTCATCCTGCGCCCCCTCGAACGAATATAGTAGGTGTTTTTACAGACAAAGAACTATTTCACATTCTTTATAAATATAATCTCCACTACCAACGTATCTGAAATGCTCCATGGTCTGCAGTACAATTGCTTTTATTCTTTAGTGGTAGGAAATAATTCTTGAGTGATAGTTCATAATTTGATAATTATATCGTTGCGGATGGTTATCATTTTCATCAAACCAAGAATGAGGACTTGTTGAAATTTTATCAGATATAATTTAATGCATTGTAAAAGCAGACTTACCAGTTTCGGTAGGGGAAATCTCCACACTGTATGTACCATCTTTGTTATCATAAGCTGCCACATCACAATCTCGACTTGGTCCCTGACATCTTACGACAAGCAGCCCTGAGCCTGAGGATCCAGACACCACAGAGAAGACCATTGGGCGGCCAACCCAACCTCCTTTACTAAGAGCGTCACCTCGTACGATACATTGAGAGACTTCCTGGGTGCCTGTTATATTTACCTTGAACGGACTCCCTGGGACGTTATCACCATCGAAGAGTACGTGCAGAACGTACGCGCCTGGAATGGGGACAATATAATGACAGTCAAATGTACCGTCACCTTTGCTCTGGACTTCGACATCCGTTGTGTATTTTACTCCCTGAAGTTTCGCCGTGATATCGCCTTGGCCCGCCTCCCGGCAGTCAATGTTGAATTCCCCACGTTCATCTACAGAACCTAGGAGAATTCGAGAAATACCATCTTAGGATTATTTGTCAAGTTTCTATAGAAAATTGCACAGACACGAACTATATTTTATGTATTTCAAGGCTATATAGCGAAAGCAAACACAGTATAGGAATTACAGATAGGGTAATCCTCACAGTCATAAAAATCTATCTATTCCGATTGGCTAAGAAAAATGAAATGTTATCCAAGAATGACATTTATTGCCGAAAATGAAATGTGATGTGCATGTCATGTAAATATTTGGAATTAAGAAAACTTCAAACGGACGGGACACTTTGATTGTGCCGTTTTGTGCAAAGAGCATATTCGCAGCACCATTACAAGGATTGCTTACGTTTTACTGCGTCGATACTTTCTTTATTTGATCATACCCAATAAACATTAGGAAACGAATAAGAAATATCGACCAGACCAGGTAATGTTCACAACATGGCTATTCTGTGTACGAAGTTATACATTGCAATGCTCTGTGTCATTTGCGTTCATAAGATAATTTGGTTTTATTTTGAATTTGGCTTTATTGAATTTGGCTTTATTTGCCTAACTTGTTTCGCACTTTGTACTTTAGGGTTTATTCGATACGCCACGGTTTAGCCTTGCATTCCCCCCCTTACCGTCCACTGGAATAAATAAGAATACAAAGTTCGAAATTTCAGACAGAAAATTTAGATATATGTTAAGTTTTAAACATTCACCCCCAAGATCTTAGAAGGATAAAAGGAAGGGTAACAGATAGATACGATGAAGGAATGGGATTAATTCTGTATAGTTATACAGAATTTGCACTTACAAGGGATGAAACAAGTTGTCAAGTGACGTGGAGTAGGAAAAGACGAAAAGAGAAAGGAACGCGTGAGAATTCATAGATTCTCAAAGAATTCAGACATTCAATCCTATCAACAAGTATTCTAAAAGAGAGTGAAACCAAAATCAAGCTTACATTCTTTCATTCCTTCGCCGTACACGACACATTTGGATGCATCGGATCTCATATACGCATCTTTAACGTGGGCGTTCAATGCATGTCCACCAACAAGACCGCCACCATAGAACATCTTAATGACATACTCTCCAGCTACTGGTGGGATGAATCGGAAATGATACAAGGTATCCGCCTGTCGTGTGAAACTTGACTCCACCGCAACATCGCCTGGCCCGGTAATATCAGCTTCCAGCTCTCCTTCGCCAGCACCAGGTAAGATTTCCAGTGGGATCACCACCTCTTTACCAACCATCATTGCGTTTTGTGCTTCAGTGAGACTTGACATCTGTACCAACACCTTGCTGGGATCTGCAACTTTGACGACGAAAGGACTGCCACGAACGTTCACGCCTGCAAATTTTACATAAATCTTATGCTCACCGATTTCGCTCGGTGTGTAGTTGACGATATAGGTATCTGGTTCGGATTCAGACAGTTGTAGATCAACGGGAACTGTTTCTCCAGAAGGTGAAACACCAGTGATTTCCAGTTGTCCTTTCCCTGCACCGTGAAGACTGACCAAGAATTCTTCTCTCTCGTGAAGACGAACTTGGTACAGACCTAGAAGAAAGGCGAACAACAAAGATATTTGCTTTCAATAAAAATTTTAATTGTAAACACACTGACTTGTAATTGTAAGCCACTGATATCGACTTGTTAAGCAAGTACATATCGTTTGCTCTCGCTTGACCACGTTTTAAATACCCGGATTTACAGTACCTCAGCTCCTCGGTGTATGCGTTCATTTAACTTAGAGGTTTTTCCTGGGGCGTTTTTCTCATTGGTTTAATTAAGTTTAACAGCTTGTGCAAGCAAAATAAATGTCAGTAATTTTATTATATTTCTGTCTAGTGGATTGGTGAAATAAAATCGTATCCTCGCGACACACGATATTTTTCACACGTGAAATTTATCGTCTCAGCGTTTTGATTGATCGGACGATTTTTCTCCCATGCATGTGTTGAATTACCGTCGGGCTTTTTTTGCCGTTTTCGGGATCGTGCATAATTTTAAACATGATATACGGTTTTTGTGAAGTCGCCAAAGTGAGAGTTTTTTGTTGTACTGTTGCTCTGTTAGCGACTATAATTATTCTGATCAAGAAAACACTCGAAACTATACTCTACTTCGCTTCCGCGTATTGTTCGCTGTGAGCCTGTCGGTCACAGATATTTATATCTATACTTATATAATAAACAAATTCGTGGTTAGTTTTTATAGTTTGTTTGTACGATTTTTCATTATTCACCCGTTGTGAAGAATCGCTAAACGCACTCGTTCGTTTAAAGCAATCCTTCATAACTCGAAAATAAAGGTACGCACTTACCAACCAGGAAAAATGACCTACTTATCATGCTGGAATCAAAATAACATGACAACAAATATATTCAGGTATATAAA